AAAAAAAGAAAATGTGAACGTTTGCTTTGCTGATATCTGTTTCACTGCCGATAACCTTTCACCTCCATCACAACACACTGAGGAAACGGGAAAATCTGTTTATCACTCTCTGACTGTTCCTATCTATCTATCTATCTATCTATCTATCTATCTATCTATCTATCTATCTATCTATCACAGACTATTCATATCTATCTATCTCAGACTATTCTTATCTATCTATCTATCTATCTATCTATCTATCTATCTATCTATCTATCTATCTCAGACTATTCATATCTATCTATCTATCTATCTATCTATCTATGTATCTATCTATCTCAGACTATTTATATCTATCTATCTATCTAAGTATCTATCTATCTCAGACTATTTATATCTATCTCAGACTATTCATATCTATCTATCTATCTATCTATCTAGTTCAGACTATTCATATCTATCTATCTATCTATCTATCTATCTATCTATCTATCTATCTAGTTCAGACTATTCATATCTATCTATCTATCTATCTATCTATCTATCTATCTATCTATCTCAGATTATTCATATCTATCTATTTATCTATCTATCTCAGATTATTCATATCTATCTATCTATCTATCTATCTATCTATCTGTAGATGACATAAAATATTTTTATCCTTTGATTGATTTAAGAAACAGTTTGGTTAATGAGATCAAAATCCAAACTTACATCTTTTTCTTCCGTCTGAATTGATTTCATGTATACAGACACACACAGACACACACAGACACACACACACACACACACATATATATATATATATAACATCAATTCACTTATCTTAAAATATAAAAAATGTTTTCTTCACTATTTTTTTTTTACCGCGTAGCAGATTTGAAAAATAAGGCTGGCTGCAGTAGTTTAATAAAAAAAAAATCACAGAAAATCGTTTAATAAGAAAACAGAATAAAAACGAAACAAGTCTTTTAAAAAATCAGTTTTAAAATATATCGTATTAAAGTTACAAAGATCGGATCTTCACCAAAATAAAAAAAAAAACCGTTAACAAATTTGAAAAGCCGAAATAAGATGAAAAAAAATCTGTTTTCCGATGTCTTTATTTGTTTTCATTTTATTTCATTTCGACTTGGGGAAAAATTGATGATTTTAGCACGAACCGATATGTAATTCACAGGCCGATACTTAAAAGCAAGATGTTCTTTCTATGTCTCTATAAAACTATTTGTTTTTATGCAGGCATACGTAGTTGCTGAAGGGAAGGAGGCAACCAGCATGGTAGCTACATTTGCCGACTATTTACAAATGTTTTCTTTACTCAAGTGAAAAAATTAAAAAAAAAAAAAGAAAAAGAAACTATATAAAACATATTTTAGGCACGAGTTAATATCTCTCCAAAAAAAAAGAAAAAAAAAGTACACTTTTTGTAATACCAAAAACTATATTTCCTTCGCATATTTCCTAAATAAAAACTCGAAGCGTCTTTTTATTTATATATCAATAAAAGTTTATTACTAAAAAATTCAGAAAACAGGTTTATCAGTTTACGAGATAAAAATAAAATGCTAATTCTGAAATTCCAGCGTAAAGTTCCGCCATATTAATATATATTACCACCCATTATAAAATGTTGTGTCTGAAATCTTCTGCTTTTATGTGCCGTGTCTCTTCAGGTCGTAGGCGATCATGGCCCTCCGTATCTTCCTCTCTATTGTAGATCTTAATAGCTTTTGTCTTTATTTCTCCCAAACCCTGTTCTACCATCGATTTACTCAAACTTATCAAATATGTTACGTTCTGTCCCCGTTTTCCTCAATCTCCCCTGTGAGTATCAGATTTTCCAAGCCCTCCTTCCTCATTACGTGCAACAGAAATTTCATCTGCCCCTTCCAGATGTTAAATTTTCTATGTTTCTATTGTCTCCAAAACTTCGTCGTTGCTCACATGTCTGGCCCATAGCATCCTCAATATGTTTTATAGAACTACATTTCTGTTGCTTCAAGACTTCTCTTCATCTTTGAGGAGATTGTCCAGTATTCGCTGCCATACAGGAGGACAAATATCCCGTAATAGTTCAATACTCTTTTTTTTCTGTCTCTTAATACTCTGCTTAGCTTTTGGAAGGCATTTTAAGCCATTCCAACACGTCTTTGGAGCTCAGTGCTTTCCGTCCTCTGTTAGAACACTTAGGTGTTTGTAAAAGTCTCCGTCGAAAGAAACAATTTTTAATGGTGTATCCAATGTCTAATTTTGAAAAAAAAAAAAAGAAAAAAAAAAAAGAACGCTGAGAACTTTTACCTACACCAATATTGTTGTGGATTCCGGGATGAAATCCGGTCTCAAATGAATGACAAACGCAGAAATGAAATATAGCAAATAAATGTATTAACGTAATAATAATATTGGTAATACGGTTAGTAGATCCATAAATGCGGTTAGTAGCAATAATAATATATATATATACAGTCTGGGAAATTCAGTATCGAAGTATGACTTCCTTCTGAGTCTACGTGCTCGCAACTGTGACTCCTACAAAGCGGTTACCTCACTCTCTCACTCTATCAGTGTATCTCTGTTACTCACTCTTACTATCTCACTGTATCACTCCCGGGTATTCACCGGCAGAAGTACAAGTACCCACTAGGCGAGTCCACTTGTATAAAAAGGGGTGGACCTCTTAACAAATATAAAGAACTTGAAAATATTTCCTTTACAGGGTAATTCAAGTCCGATTTATATAATTTTTCGCGCTTCTTGATCTTTTGGGGCAGTAGACTAAACTTTTAACCAGAATCTATCATGAACACCCATGATCTTATTAATTTAATATTCAGATTTAATTTTTCACCAAAAATCAGCCTCGTTCATTTCTCATCTCAGTTCTCCGACAGAGTCCCTGAAATCCTAAATTAGTTCTACTGAGGCGGAGCCATGGAGGATTGGAGGAGTAATGGACAGCGACTCGGACTGAGGAATCAGAGAGCCGAGTTCGAATTCCAGTTGAATCCGTTAATTCACTAACGTGCTAATACCGTTTGGAAATGCATGAATCCCCTTCTTCTCCCCCCAGCTATTGGTAAATAGATTGCAACTGGTCTATCGCAGAAAGAAATGGCAACCTAATGCGGGAGAAAAATCTGCCTCGTCAGTCATGTATCGAAAGATACATTATCGCCTAAGCATGTATCACGCATGGTGCATAACTGATTGACTGATAAACTGTAAAATCAAGTTATATCCTCAAGGGTATGTTTTAACTAAAATCTCGTGTTTAAACAGAGTTATTTTTGACAGATTTTGTTTAATTTGTAACTAAGATTGATTGATTCATGTTATACAGCTTATCAACATCCATGGTTTATATACAACCATAAAAATAATTTTAAACTTGTAAGAATTTCTTTGAAGATAATAATGGTTCAATGATACAAGTATTACTGTTTAACTCACAGCTAGGGGGTCGGAGTGGATTCATACCTTTCTCAAGAGTATTTGCGCGTAATTGATATGCATATCTACATCTATATTACTATATATCTGTGTTTCAAACGTAAATGCAAAACAGCAACAGGGACGTTTGAAAAAACAGATATATAGTGACATACGTGTACACATGCAGCACACATTAATGTGATTAAGAATAGTGAATTGAAGTTGCATTTGTCGGCCTGGTCACGTTGAATGAAGTTAAGCAACGTTGAGGCTGGTCAGTACCAACATAGATGACCACTTAGGAATACCAGGTGATGTAAGCTTGGAATGCGCAGATGTTGTCATAGCTAATAGGTAATTGTTAATCGGAGAGACAAGTTCCAATTCTCGTTGGGTTCGTTATATTCACTTATAGCAAAATTATCCAAATCGTGTAAAAGCATGCGATAATTGCCCATCCCATAATATGTTTAATATCTAAAAATCTACTAAACTAACTGAATTTCTTTTTCTCGGGCTCTCAGATAAGACGTTTAGCCATCTTGATGCCATTTGCTGTAAGAATCACTGAAAAAAAAACTTTTAATTATTCAGCTAGAAAAAGAACAGGTTAAAATCGTTTTGTGTCTTTCCAGCTGAGCAGTGGTGAGAGAAAGAAGATCAATACGGCCTTCAGTAATGGTACCAACATTCATACGCTGACTTCCATCGTCAAAGTCCATTCAACAACAATGAATCATGAGAACGGTGAAAAGTTTAAAAAGAGAGGAAAACTGGATCAGGAGTTCACAACAAGAAGATAGCTCATCATTTCAACTTAGAGCTAAATACATTCTTATTGTTCTAAGTAGACTCCCATAGTGTTATGAAAACCACGTAGAACTCCAGTAAGATATATTTGATTTTATTTTATTTACAAGATAGAATGGTTCAAAGCTTAATCTAACAAATGAACAGGTTTGCTGTTGCACGATTTAGACAATGTTGCTGTTAGACCCAGTAAATATATATATTTAAATCGTTATTTAAATTATTAATCTCTATATTTGTTTTTTGTATGAATGATTCATGTAATTATAAATTGAACTGCACCTATAATCGAAATTAAAATAACTGATCCAACGTGCAACTTTCGGGTAATAAGTGTGACATTCTTGCAATTATTGAACAATATAGTTCATGCCACTTTGACGGAAAACCTACCAGTACAAAAGAATTCTATTACTATATTTATACAAAAACGCACAACCTTAAAATTTAAAATTCAAACTCAGCGTTGCGACCGCATGTTCCAAAACAATAACACATTTCTCATAGCATTTTTTCGGATTACATCTATATTTTCGTTGTCCTCTTATTACCGAGAAGTAAAAAACAAGAACAAATCTATTTCCATACCTGAGGATGTAAAACTAAAAAAAGACCTTATGCAACTGGAATTTATAAACAGGGATCATATCATTCATATACAGGTTCGGGGTTAGTGTACCTTATTGAAATTGATGTATTCTCGCCATTTAAATAAATCATTAACCTCTATATTTGTTTTGTATGAATGATTCATGTAATATATATATATATATATATATATATATATATATATATATATATATATATATATATATATATAAATATAATTCATTTAAAATATGTTTTTTTCGCTATACACTTCTAACCATGATTCAAAAATGTTTCAAAAATGGTTAGAACTGTGTAGAAAAGAAACATATTTTAAATCAATTAATTTATAATATTAATGCTCTGTAAATTTACATTGAGCACTATTTTGTGAAAATAAAATATCTATAAGAACACCGGATTATATATCTTACTGTTCTTTCTTTTTATTTATATAAACATATATATATATATATATATATATATATATATATATATATATATATATATGGAAAAGGTTATAATTGTTCCAAAGAGAGAAAATGTATATAAAAAAAGAGAGAAAGCGCAACATTTTTGGTTATAATGTGGATTTGTTTTATATATCATTTTAAATATTGTTAAGATTTAGAGCTTGTAGTTTAGGTGAATCGTAAAATATAAGGTATTTTACTCAAAGATACTTTACAATAAAATGGTTTTCTCACCGCAGAAAATTTTAAAACAAAGTTTTCTAGCGATCTTTTGAGTAGAGTATTAAAAATGCTGCTAAACAAAATTATTAGTCCTCTTTTATCAGAGCTCAAC